AAAAATGTGTACACTATGGATTTGTTCTAATCTACCATTTCAGTACAGGGGACCACAAAGAAAGTTCGTCAGCACCTCAGCGTCTCCTTCCCCTCTCTCACCTAATTTTAAGCTAAATGAAGACCTATTACCAGATTTTAATTTCTGCTAAAATAAATCACTGGAGACTAACAAATGATACAAAATTAGCACACTGCAGAAGCTAAAGATGAAGTCTTATCATTCATTGCCCTTGAAACATTTTTCAAGAGCAAGAGTGTTTTAAAATTAACTTATTTTAGATATAGAAAAACTAAAAAAAAAAGGTACAATAGTAATCTCACAAGATAAACAAACAATTCTTGATTCACTGTATTCAATTCAAATATATATGATTCTAGATATTCTAAACATAATGCTACCTAATTATTTTCACATTAAATACTGTTGAAGGTGGTCACAGAAATCTGGGGTTCAGCCATGTGTGTGTATATATTTTTTTTTCAACTTTTTCAATTTTTACAGGGAAATAAAAGAAGCATTATTTCCTATAATTCATTTACATTAGTACTACAACAAAGCATGCAAAAGCCTATGCAAAAAAAAATCAAACAAACGTATGCTTCCTAGCACCAAGAGATCAACAAGCAGATTTTAATCATTTTAAATAGGTACATTAAAAGTTAGGCATTTTCATAATTTCACTATTTTACTACTTTACATTAATGAGACATTTGGGTAAAGAAAAAAACTGAAAGTGACAGAAAATAAATCTTTTTCCTATAAAGAAATTACAGTGCATTTCTCTACACTTCCTACATACAATTAAGATTTCAGTTAAAAAGTCCATAAGAAATAAGAGTTCCAGAGCCAGTTCATTAAACTAAGTGCTTGCACTACATTTTTGAAGTGTTCATGTAATGCTGTATCTTAAAAACAATTTAGAGGGAAGATGATAGAGGAGGGCACATCCCAGACACACTGTGGGTCTCAAACAAATCATTAATTATAGCATCAAATAAATGTTTTAGTGGCTTTAAAAAAAAGCAACTCTGTAAAACTTTACTAAAAATAACCCTGTAAGAAGGAAGGAGGCCATCAGAAGTGTAGCATAATGGAAAACATCTAGCCACAAATTTGCATTTAAAATTAACATGGTACAAATTAGAAGGATTACTACACAAGTATCTGTTAACCTTTAATTACAAAACAAATTAAAAAATTTGTATCACTGAGCTTTATATGTACTTCACTAACTACATATCCTTACTTCACCACATTACACTTGAGCCACTGAACATTTTGCATACTTCTATTTATTTGGCTCAAAATAACAGTAGTTTACCCAATAGATTTTAAAACTGAATTAAACTGCAATGGGGACTGAAAATTTAGACTTGAAGTTTCCTTTTACTCCTTTATTCCGAATACATGCTTTGAAGCATATTTTACTTAAGTACAAGCAAGATCATGACTCCTAAAATATGACATAACTGAGTTTGTTTCTTGTTTATCAGCCAAGCAATTTCATATTAAACTTTTGGGGTAATTTAGCTACCTTTTAAAAACAATGAATTTGAAAAGCATAGTTAATCTCACTAAATCATACCAGGTCACCCAATACCTAAATCTCATGTACTGTCAAATAACTATTAACAAAATTCAGGGCAATTAAACTGAGTTACATCCTACACTTTAGGTATAAGATTTTAATTGTTCACCATAAAACTTAATGCTGTTCCCACTTTTTTCAAAGTGAAACTTCAACAGGGACAGAGTTAGGCCAATGGCATGCACTTCTGTAAAACCTATTCTAGAAAAGGAAAAATTCTAGAAGGTCAGATACTCTAGCCATATCCTTTATTTTCTAAGATATTTTCTATCCTTTTGTCTTATTTTTGTTCTAAATGTCTTCACTTCTACAACTTTCTTTGAATGACTCCCCACATATTTAAGCAATTTTTAGAAAACACTGATGATACTGAAATTGGAATTTATGTAATAACTTTTCATGCTCCTACTTTTGATTAAACTTCACTGGACTATCCTTTGTAAGTATCTTCTTAGTGCTTACACCTTTCTAGTTATTGTAAAGAGTTATTCTATACCTTCCCTCACAGTTTATCCATCATTTCAGGCAACCTATGGTCTATTTCAGACTTTCCTAATAAACTTAGCCATCTAAGCTAAATAGAGACAGTCAAAAAGCCTGAGGCTGAACTGATTCAATCTTCACAGATTAGTCTAATTTGCATAGATTGAACCAATAAGCAAGTGAACAGATTCATCTTTGATTCCAGAAATGCGGCCACATGCCTGAAGTGGCCCAAGCCAGAAGCCAGGGGGCACTAGAGCACACCCCCCTACTGGTCTAGAACAGACAACCTGGGCCAAGGCTAACCCACCCAACATGCAGGGAAGGTGCAAAGCATCCTGGGAAGCTGGGGGACTGTAAATTAACTTGAATCTAGAAGGGATCTGGGACAGAAGTTCAAAAACCTGATTTAACCTAAATCAGTTAAATCTGATACTACATCCTTCCAGGTTTATCTTAAACTGGATTTTAACCATTTTGAAAGTGTTTTATGTGCACTGAACTTCTGTTGTGTTACAGATTTGAACTAGTTTATGATCATTTATATCAGTTTATGTGCAATTTCCGACCTTAGTCCTAGATTCTAAACAATGTTTTTTTCTTTCAATGTTTTCCTTTTATTGAAGCACTCAGGATGGAATACTGTATTTCAAGTCAGTGTTCATTAAGTCATGCAGAGATCTATCACCCCTTCATCAGTGAAGAAAATCCCCATATATATGACTAAACTCAGTCTGAAACAGGTTCCCTCTAGCACTTCTCATATTTCAAATGCTATCTGTTTTCCTGGATCTTTTCCACAATCAACTAACTTGCATTCCCCAAATTGAATCTATTTGTTATTTCCATCTCTATGTATTATGCACATGTTTTCATTTTATACTTTAGGATTATGCACATTACTATGCTATTGATCCTTTTTTGGACCATTAAGAACTATGTCACAATCAGAACAGCGACAGATCCTCAACGTTACATAGCTTTTTGTTACTAACTATATGGCACTTTTTTTCCATAGAACTCAGTGCTGCACAAAGAAACTTGCTGTTCCCATTTTTCAAAAAAAGAGACTAGGACACAAAAGTAAACCAAATTAAAGGCACTAAAACTTTTGTATCAATGACCATGCTGCACTCTATTAAAAAGGTACCCAAATTAAAAGTTAATCTTAAATTTTGTTTGCCAAATATTCTATTAAATGTTTACCGAAAGCTAAGTAAGAGGAAACCCACAGGTGCAAACTACATGCTCTCCTAGGATTAGAAAATGAATACAATCTAGTTAGTCAAGTAAAAATACATCTTTAAAAAAATCTTTACAAAATGCTCATGCTACCATGCTCTATAGGATTAGATGGTTCTCTCATGAGGCATTATGTTAATACTTTCTTGATGAAACAGAAATGGTAACAAGAGTTCCTACAGCAAGTCTGATGTGTATGGGCCTCAACCCTGCAAAAAAAGCTTTAGTGAGGTTTCTGCAACAAATTTTCTATACCTTTTTCACAATTTAATTTTTTTGGATAAAAAGTAACCCAAATACACATACCTTAGGTCCAACAAAGTTTCATTTTGAATCGGGTACAAATGTTGTCTGGGTTACAAAAGTATTTACGTAGCCTTAAAAATTGCCAAGCCATGCCAATACAAGTCAAAATTGATTTAAGAGTAAGTACATTAAGCGTCATGTGGAATATAATGAAGTTAAACCCTGGAATGTAAACTTTATAATGGAAATTATTACAGAATTAAATGTGACTAAAAAAAGAAGATATGAACGAAGTGGCTGTGCTATTTTCAATCTTAAAATACCAAAAGAACTGACATTTGTACATTAAAACAAGTCAACATACAAACTGACTACCACCATTAGAAATTAGCTTCTCCATGCAAATAACTTCATCATAAGAAAAAATTCACATATGCCAAATGTGTTAGAGAATTTTACACAAAGGATTAACCCTTTGTGAAATGTGTGTCAGCTTGTTCAATTTAGTAAAAGAAAAAAGACATTAAATCCTATTTTGTATGGATTAATCTTTAATATATTCAGCATTACATAAGAAATACATATTCACAATTTCCCACTTTTATAGAAGGCCCACTTAAAAAAAATTGAAAACAAATCAGAACAACCCTTAGGGTGTAGTATTTTTCTATATAAAAAATAAGACTGAAATTTTTTTTCAAATAAGACAATCAGTGGGAAAAACATTGACATGCTAGTTCCTGAATACAATAAGTATGTTAACCAATCTAAAAACAATGTTTTTTGTATATTTTGCAAGCACCATTATTAATACAGTGCTTCAAATTAAGCTAGTAAAAAGAATGCATCTGGGAATCAGAAAATCACAAAATTCTCAAAATCTAAAATTATTCGTATATTATTTCACAAGGTAATTATTTGTATAATAACTATATTAAAGGTTAACACACAAATATATATTTACATAATGCTATCATGCCAGAATATTTTGTAATCAAGCCCATTACAAAATACCTCAATTAATGCTTGTTAGAAAGATAAACATTTATAGGGTTAACAGTATAGCTTACTACAGTTAGTTTGCCAAGTTTAGTGCACAAAATGCACAATTTGAAGCAAAACCATTCAGAAACCAACTAAACAACTGCAGACACATTTTTAGTCTAGACATAATTACGCAAATGTGTACCATTAATTTCCCTGCGAGAAAAACTTACTAAAAGGCTTCTCAACTAGTGAAACTAGCTGATATTAGTTGATATTTACTGTGTCCATTCTGGGTGTTTTTCCCCCACTGCCATAAAGCCCTGTCATATCAAGACTGACATTTGCATGGACATTTTCAAAAGCTAGTAAAATTAGTCCCTTAGTCACTGGTTCTGTAAATCCAAAATAACACAAGTCTTTTTTCCCTGAACCCCTTCATTCTGTGACGTACCATCAACATCATCTGCAGCTTCGCTCTCTTCTTCTTCTAGTATTTCAAAAGGAGTCAATACATCATAGAGAAATGAGAGGAAGCCATAAAACCAATCAGAACTTTCCTCTGCTAAAATATTAAGGACTTCCTCAAGGGAATCAATATTTTCATTACTGCCATCTTTGGTCAGGCCTACACAAGAATAGAGGAAAGAGAGAAAGAGAAAAAAAGGAGAGCAGTTAGGTGGAAAGAGGAAACTGTAAAAGAAGGATCTATGAAAGATATCTCGCGTCACAGAGAGCAGTTTTTACAGGAATGCTAATTAGAAGTAGAAAGGTTAAGAAAGTTTCAACCTGCAAAGAAGTAAATTAAAATTTGGACATGTGAAACCTGTAAGTATTTTAGATAAGATAGTAGATTGGGTTCCTCTTTCACTACTTTCTTCCTGGAAACAGATCAAACTTTTATGCATAACTTGCTGTTTGCAGCATTTATTGTTAAAGTAGATTCTGCATCTTATCAGTCTTCTTTAAATTAGAACAACCACATTCAATTTTTTAAGGCAATCAAATTTAGAGGTAAGATATCTGTTTGCTTTAAACAGATCTGTGCATTTCAATAAGTTTCTCAGACAGGCAGTTGAAACAAAATGTCCTTAATTGCTTGTAATTTTAATTTATAATGGGCATCCATTGTTCTGACCATTTATTAACCCATTTATTATCACTAGGCAGTGAGGTATTTTTATGTCCCCCTCCAAATTCCTTTATAATTTAATTCTATGAGAAAACACATTTTATAGCTTTAACTTCATGTAGTTACCATTCTAACTTGCTTCAGAGGTCTTAAACCAAGAAGCAAAACACTGACCCACTTAAGTAAAACAAAAAAACCCTATAGTTATTTTAGTGTTGTAGTCTGGATTCAATCTATGGAAGGCCTCACCAGAGAAATACTGCTGATACAGAGGAATTCCAAGCTCAGCAACCCTTCTTGGCAAAAGTTTTAGAGGTAAAGAAACAGTGAAAGAAAAAAAAAAAAAAGGCAATTATAAAGGGAGGGAGATACAGAAGAACCGAAGAAAGTGATTCCAAAAGCTTTTGGAAAACAAGCTGGAATTCTCTGATATTGTACTGTCAAGAAACAGGCATGTTTTGGGTAACCCCTTCTATAAAACAGGGCACATGGAGGAAGTAACAGCATGTGTTCTTAGTTTGATATCCTAATTCTGTCAAAGCAGTAGCTTAACTGATGGGGCAAGAGCCAAACGGGCACCAGCCCCAGGCACTGACTTCGAAGGGGCACCAGAACAGTACCCTGTCACGAGTCTTTGCAACAGAAGCCCTGCTCTACCCATCAGCAGTAGCCAAGTGTGAGGACACAGGAGCGGAAGGAGAAAGGGTCTGAAACCCCAAGGCAGGTAAGAATTCCCTTCTCCCAACCTCCCACCCTGCACTCTCCAGTGCTTGGAACCCCCTCCAAGCCAAACCATATGGGAGTTTTGCCCAAGGCACAAAACTTTTAAGTGCACCTCTATGAAGCACAAAAACCTGGACTGTCAAGAAACAAAAAGTTACAGTCTTTATAAAAATAATCCAAGAGTTGTTCTAATTAAAATTTTCTTGGACTAAAAAAATAATAAAAAAAAAAAAAAAAAAAAACAAGAATTGGAGCCTTTACTAAAGCACCAGAAAGTAAAGTCAACCACACGGAGCCTAGCCAGCAGTGGAGTGCGGCTCCAGCTCTGAGCCGCTGCATGCGCCACTCTTCTTCTTTTTCCCCATGGGTTTTTTTAGCCCCTGGACACCCAGGGGCCAAAATCCCCCTCTGCGTTGCTCCCTTACAGCATGGAGAACAACTGAGCATGTGGTATGTGGCGCTGCAGACTGCACAATCGCGCTCAAAAGAATGCAGCCATCGTTTCCCCCATGCTCTCATCTCCCTCACTTTGTATGAAAACAAAATACTCTATGACGACCAAAAAACTCAATATTGATAGGATTTTCCTGTAACCTTGAAGTTCCAGAAACTTGATTATATTGCAGTCTTCTAGGAAGGTGTACTTGCAGTGATTCTAAATAAAGTCTTCTTTCTTTCCTAGCCCGATTCGCATTCCTCATTTAGATAGCCGGCTGTTATGCTGGATTTTTCCCCTGAGAAAGTTATGTTTAGATCTGCCCCATTAAAAAGTGAGTTACTGAAGGACGACACAAAACATGTCTAAAGCCTTGAAAGTCTAATTTCTATCAAAGAATGTGTGACCAGGCTATAGAGGTAAATCGCTCCAAATGACTCCAAGGAGCCACAAAGAAGACTATCTTGCCAAACCATTTGCAGGTATTACAAGGGTGACACTCACTAGAACTTCAGGAACAAGGTTAGATCTTGATGAATTTCTCAGGGTCTTACTAAACTGCTGTGGAACCCCAAAAATACCTTTAAGGTTGCTTATGCAATAGGCATTGCTAAATACAAAATACGTGCATGTCTTTGAAATTCAAATGGAACCAATTCTCTACCTTCAGCTAATGAGAGCATTAAGTTACACCTGTCATGATAAAGGAATTCCCAGAACTACCTTAACTTCTCTCCACAAAACTAATCTCCTTCCAAAGTAACATGAGTAAGCAGAAAGGAAAAGAATCTTTAACCAATCATTTTTCAAGAGCAGATCAGGAAACTGTTCTACTCCAAAGAAACGACTGAAAAATCAAGACACCATTGAGAAATAGAACTAAAAAAAAAATCCAATGTTCTCTCCCCTTCATGATTATTTATTCAGTCCAGCACAAACACAGTGTAAATAAGATATTTTAAATAAACACGAGTATACAGGAAAACTTCTAATGCAAATTATTATACACAAAGTTCAGTCTAAATTAGAGCAACCCTCTTACACTTTCTTGTACAGTGCAAGAAACCTAAGACTCCTACAAGTAACATAGACAGCTATTTAAATCATGCAAAAAGTACATGTCATTTGCCAAATCCTATTGATCTATAATGCTAGAAGCACCACTAAAATGAATTGTGTGTTTGATATTTAATTCTGAAACACCATGCATTTAACATGTACACCTTTGTTAGCACCTACTCAAGCCTGGCTATCCTCTAAATCAGAGTATATGCAAGCACAAGTGAACAATCAAGGGGTGCTGACAGATGTGCAGGCCCCCACTCTAACTCATGGTGCTACATGTAAAGTGTCATGAGTTAGAGTACCCCTTCCCCCCCCCCCCCCCAACCCAAGACTTTCACATGTTAAGGTGGGGTAGGGAAATAGAGCCTGCCTACAAGAGCCCAAGGAGTCTACTGCAGGAGCCTAAGGAGCTGCCTTTCCCCCCCAGCCTCGCCCCCCCCAACCCAACTTCCCAGCTCCAGGGCTGTCTGCAGGATGGGAAAAAGGAAGGGGACTGAGCTACTGGCTAGGGTTTGCCCAGCCTGAGCTGGAGGGGAGGACAGGGGTGGGGGTGAGGCAGGGAGGCTCTAATCCCCCTACCCCCTCCCTCCAGCTCAGGCCAAGTAAACCCCAGCCAGCAGCTCATTCCCCTCCCCCACCCTTCCTGCAAACAGACCCAGATCACGCCACAAATTAATCCTAGGGAACACAAGTTCCCTAAGGTACTCCAAAAGGAGTGCCTTCATCTGATCCCACATCTGATGAGGATTAAAATTTGTCACACAATCAGCCACGTTAAAAGTGCTCTGCGCCCATGCACAAGTATCACAGCATAGTTGTAGAGCACTTTCAGGGGAGCAATCATGAAACAAATGTCAATTCTGTCTGCACCCAAGGAGCTGCTACCACTTCATTTAGCAACCACTTATACCAAAGGGCAGTTAAGTGGTTTAAGTTAAACACAGCAAGGTTACTTATCTCTGAGGAGTGAAATACGGTGGCCCAGGTAATCCCACAAGTCCATTCAACTGATCAAACATACTATTCCCAATACCTACACAAACTCCCCACATGCATCTTAATCTATTTTTAAGACAGGATGTTGAGACGCAAATGATGCCCCCGCACATATCCATGCAATCCCAATGATTCACCAACTAGCAGTAAGGCCGTTAGAAATATTTTTTCTTCTACTAAACTTTCTAGGCACCTTTCAATGATTAGCAAACACTGAAAACAAAAAAACAACATAAGGCCTTCTAGATACCAATGCCATAAGAGAAGCATATGTTTAGTGACTGACAACTTACATGTCCATATATTACTTCAGTTTAAGAAATAACTTTCCCCCAAAACAAAAACTAAGAGTTAGCTATTCATGCAGAATGTTGCTTGAAAAGTATGCAGGCTATTTCACAAATGCCCAGGGTAGCATAACTACGGGAGGGGGGGGAGAGGAAGGAGGGCTGAGACCCAACTCTAATTAAGAGGGATGCCAGAACAAAGGCAGGGAAGCTCCAGAATGGTTGTCACTACAGGCTGTGGCTGCATAGCATGGTGGTGTCCTCCACTGCCCTCCCATAAGCAAATTAGATGTTTTCTACCTCCAACTCAACACACACTCAACAGTGTCTGCAGAGAGAGAGAGAGAGAGAGAGAGAGATGGCCGGTAAGAGGCTAAACGCCTTGGCTGAGGGACACATTTTCCCCTGCGGGGACCCTAAAGACCCTCAGCTCTTCTGCCCTCTCCATACTGCCAAAGTCCACAGCTGTGTGGGCCTAGAGCCCCCTTGCCTCCACTCCCTGGGACACAGATGAAGATTCAGAGCCAGAGCCCACAGTTGCTCAGGGCATACACCCTATTAGAGATGCCTCTGGATGCCCAATCTTGTTCCCACTGAAGTCAATGCTCAAATTTCTGTTAACTTCAATGGGAGAAAGAAAAGACCAAAAATCAGTCCAAAAATGTAAATTGATAGCCATTCTCCAGTTAATACAGTTTGTTGAAACACTGCAGAAAAAATGGTTTGTTCATTAATTTTTACATGTTATCATCCTAGAAATCCACACTATTTCTAAAATTGAAATCTGTATTTATAATTATTTTTATAATTAGAACAAAATATTAATTTATTTATTTTTTAGATATAGATCCTGCCCTATCCAAAAGGGAGATATTATTTATGGCACTACCAATAGAAGATGTGAATGCTGGAGATTTTAAACTACAGTAGTATCTCTCTAGCTTTAAGGATTAGCTAAAGAAAAGAAAAGACAAGTAACTGATAATTTATTAGGATTAAACAGTAAAGTTCTCATTCTTGACAAAGGATTAAATAAGCACCAAAGTCTTTTAATATTGTACTCCCATTAAAATCAATGTCTTTGAGCATCAATTTTTTAACATCAGCATAAAAATAGTATCTTTTTCTAACATAAATCATTCAAAATACATTGTCACAGCTCACAAATATTTAGAAAGTTAAGTTCCAAGAGATGATGACTGCAGCTTTTATAGCATATTTTCCTTATTTTAATGCTTTATTTAATTGCGAATTCCTCAGGACAAAGTCACATTTGTTACTTTTTGCAGACTATGCTGAATACATATAATATTATACAGTTAACAGTGTTATATAAATTATACCAGGGTGTCAAGCAATACAACCTGTGGGTTGCATCCAGGCCACAGAGCCATTTTATCTGGTTCACTGGGGATACAGGAAGTTAAGAGTCATGGTTAGAGGGAGTGGCTTACCACAAAATTCAGGACCTCTGGGACCTGCCAGACATGCTATCAATGGCAGGGAGGAGAGCAAGAGCTGTGCTGATAGCCCAGCTGCTTGACCCTGCCACTGCTCCCAAACCAGTCTCTGTTGTAGCCTCTGGCCCTGCAGATGCAGTCCAGGAGGAGCCCCATCGTCCAGATCTGACCCAGGGTGAGTTTGACACTTTTGAATTACACTACATAATTAGAACCAGCAGCTTGCTTGGTTTTTCCTGTTGTGTGTTTTTTTATTTTGGTTTTTTAGCTGAAACTAAATTAAATTATGGATTAATCACCTGAAAAGATTTTTATTGATCAAATGTTTGTAGTGGTCTGCACCAAAAATGTTTTAAAAACCAGTTAGGTATTTTTTCCCTGTTTTACAGAACGCATGAAAAAGCCAAATCTTAAACACTAGTTTTGAAGTACAGTAGCTCCTTGATGTGTGACCTTTTATGTCACATTTGAGAAAACATGTATTTCAATATATGGAAAGGCAAATTTATTATAGAAACATGGTCAGAGTACTGGCAGAATACCCAATCATATCAAGTTTCATATAATCAAAGATGTAACAAAGAGCAGTACATATTTTTGGCTACCAGCTTTGCGGTCAGAAAGACTGGCATGAAATACAGTAGTAAGAGAACTATCTATTCCTTCCTATACAGCACCAAGAAGGTACAGGTTTGAAGAAGAATTACAGGAGAAAAGATCATGATAATTTATTCTGAGTTAACTTTTGCACTTCTTGTCTTAAACATATATTTCAGGGTTAGCTCTCAATTTACAGCTCTAATGTGACAGACCACTAGAGACAAGATTAGAATACTTCTTGCTCTACCTGACATTACAGTTGCATTCATGATGCTGAATCTCAGAAGTTCTTCACATACATAGCAGCACATATACACTATAAACAAGCAGACTGAAAAACAAAGCTACTTGCCTACCTCTTCAGGTGAACAGAGATGGGGGAAGACAGCATTAAATAGACTTTTAAAGAGCATGCACACCGACCTGATACTAGTCCACAGTAAAATGTAGTATCAACACGCTATGTCTTGCATTACTGCACCATTAAGATACAACTCTGGACATTGAACAGATATGATTTGGTGTTTTTTTCAACTCCATTTGATGACTTTGAACAACTGATAATGCAAAGCTGGAAAGTCCCCAGTTAAGAACACCTAAAATTATTTTCCCTCCAATTTCAGCTGCAAGAGTCACCTTGTTATTAATACACTGCTTCTCATTCCCCTCTACTCTGCTTTTCTTTACAAAATAAAAAAAGAGAGAAGTCAATAAGGACCAGCACTATATTAGCAGGAAGGGAGTTATAAAAGGGATTTAACACAGTTTACCCCAGAGAGTTGCCCAAGCTCTTTACTATTTTGGGCTTTTTTTTTTTTTTTTATATTAAGTTTATATATATTCCTAGGATCCCCAGTGGGTTCATCTGAACAAATCTAAAGAATGAAAAAGGCAAAGCCCACTATGAATTTAAATTTCAGCTATTTAAGAAGCCTCTGTCCAAAGGCTGAACAAAAAGTGCTCAAGATGGCACTCTCACCTTGGTAAAGTTAACTGCTGTACCCAGATCTGTGGGTATCTTAAAAGTAAAGATAAAAAGTATCTTAAAATTTACACTTAAGAAATTTCTCCCTTAAGATTCCAAGCAAGAAAAAAGGAAATTACTCTTTAGGAACAGAAGCAATAAGAGTTGGTAGTCGCAAAGGATGCCTCAGTCAGCCCTTATATTACAAAGGGAAATGAAGCAGAACATTGAAGGGCAAAAAAAAAAAAAAGGCAGAGGGAAGCAGAAAATAAAATGTAAAGAATATATTTAACATGTAGAAAAACATTTATATAAAGACTAGTGAATTGCCTGTCACGAGTGACAGGTGGGGGAAGCGGACGGGGACAGAACACTGTCACTGCTCCATCTCCAGCCCCGTACACCTCGCCAGCCCCTACATCTGGCCCCGTGAGGCCCCCACCCCCGGGGGCCCCCCCCCCCCTGCCACTCCCAGTGCCCTCCCATACACCCCTCCACCCCCTGCAGCTCCCAGATCCCAGGAACAGGAGGCAGAAGCTTGCACACTATGGTGGCCGCGTCCCCACCATCCCCTTGGACAAATGGGGCCGGGGGGAGGGGGGTGGGGAATTAAGGCTACCCCTTGGATGTGGCAGTGAGGCCAGACTGGGGGGAGGCTGATGGGGGGAGAACACGACAGGGGAGGGGCATGAGGCCAGCCCTGTTCCCCACCCACTCCAGCCCCTCAGTCCCTGCTGTCATGGCGGCACTCCACTGTGTCCGTCTGTCTGTGCAGACCATTCTGACTGGTTGTTTCAGTCAGCATTGTTATTGGCTGCCGAGACAACCAATCAGAGTGCTCACAAAGCATTATGAATAGACAAACAGAGACAAAGGCTTTTATTATATTAGAATTTAATTATTTCTGCCACAACCTCATTTACAATTGACCTGGCATGTTTCTTTGACCTATGCTCCAATATTGTAAACAGCTTATGAAATGACCCACCTTACCCAAAGAAATTTTTAAAAGATGCATTCTAGGTACAGTTAATAGGTGCATGTTACATCAAGTACTAAATAATTCCACCTACCTTGCAACAGTACTTGCAGTTTTCATGCAAAGAATTCCATGTTTAGGGCATTTCCTTACCTTCCGATTTAATCATTTAATATTATACGACAAATTACGGAACCTGAAGCATAAAAACTATTACATGGACTTTTCAAAATGTGTTTTGTACTTGCCTAACAAAACTTTTGCATCTTCCACATCAAAATCTCCATCTCCATCTGCATCATATATCCCAAGCTTGCCTAAAAACATGAGAGTAGTAGAAAGAAAAGAATTTTAAAAATGCTTTCATTTTTATGTATTCAATATGCAATATATGTAGTTTTAAATTATTCCATCTTCATTATTTAACATAATTATAGGTCTTTTGGAATACCTTAAAAGACATTCCAAGTTCAGTTGCAAGTTGTCTAAATATCAAGTGTACTTGAATGTAGGCAGACTTCTTTCAGTGAATAATTTATTTAGTCTTTCCAAAACACAAAAAGCAAGTATAGGCAGTCCTCAACTTATAACATTTCGAGTTACAACATTTCGTACTTAGAACGTTTATAAAACTGACACCCTGTTTCAACTGGGTTCAACCCTGTTTCAGGTAGGTGGCCAACTGGCTTAGGGACAGCACCCAGAGAGTGATGGTGGATGGTTCCTTCTCAGCCTGGAGGGAGGTGGGCAGTGGGGTCGCAGGGTTCGGACCTTGGACCAATATTATTCAATATCTTCATCAACGATTTGGATGAGGGCGTGGAGAGCACCCTCTCCAAGTTCGCTGATGATACCAAGTTATGGGGCAAAGTTAGTACACCGGAGGGCAGGGAGCAGATTCAGGCTGACCTGGACAGGTTGGATCAATGGGCAGAGAGAAATAAGATGCAATTTAATGAAGATAAATGTAAGGTACTCCACCTGGGAAGGAGGAACCCCCAGCACACCTATAGGTTAGGGAGTGTCCTTCTCAGCAGCTCGGAGGCAGAGAGGGATCTTGGACTCATAACTGACTCCAAGACGAACATGAGCTGGCAGTGTAACGAGGCCAACAACAAGGCCAATCGCACCTTGTCGTGCATTAGCAGGTGCATGACTAATAGAACAAAGGAGGCGATGCTTCCCCTCTATGCGGCACTGGTCAGGCCGCAGTTGGAGTACTGTGTCCAGTTTCGGGCGCCGCACTTCAAGAGGGACGCGGAGAATCTTGAGAGGGTCCAGAGGAGGGGAAGCGCTGTTTACTAAGGCGCCCCAAGGAGTGACTAGGAATAACGGGTGTAAACTAGTTGAGAGTGGATTTAGGTTAGATATTAGGAAGAAATTTTTCACAGTATGGGTGGCCTGGATCTGGAATGGGCTTCCAAGAGAGGTGGTGCTATCACCTAGCTTGGAGGTCTTCAAGAGGAGGCTAGATAGTCACCTGGCTGGGGTCATCTGACCTCGGTCCTCTTTCCTGCCAGGGGCAGGGGGTCGGACACGATGGTCCATTGTGGTCCCTTCTGACTCTACAATCTATGAACTTTCTGACGTCAGTTTTGACTTTACAATGCTTGATCTGATACGATGCCATGCCAGTGAACACATTCACTGCATTGCCTATCTCCCTGGAAAACAACTATTCAAGCTTCCTTGGATGCTTTCTTTAAGAAAGCAGCCAAGACTACAGAAAAACCTGCAGCTAAGACTCCTGAGAAGACTCCAGCCACGAGCCCTTCAAAAAGCCCAACCAAGAGCCCTTCAAAAAGTCCAGCAAAGTCACCTCAAAAAAGTCCTTCTAAATCAATGCGATTTCTAATTACAATATAAATACATTAATGTAGCTATATTACTGATCTATAATTGACTGAGTACAAAATTATGGGTTATTTTTGGTGAAAATAGGGTATCGGGCCTTGGTTCAAGAACCAATCCCCCATTTATAACATTGTTTCCTATGGGAAAAATCAGTTTCGAGTTACAACATTTCGACTTAAGATGCAGTTTTCAGGAACCAATTGTGTCATAAGTCTGAGGACTGCCTGTACACACTTCAACATGCAACTATTTTTTAATCTGAGTTCAATGTATTCAGACAAACTAGCTGTACAATAAGCAATCAAATGATCACCAAATGCTTTCAGTTTTCATAGTCTACCATTGTAAATACTTCTCTGTCACAAAAAATTATACCTATGCTCTGGATACGTGGAACAGAAGAAGCGTGTTTCCCAGAAATAGCATAAAAACATATACTAAATCTCATGTAAGCACTGGTGAATCTAAACATCTATCATTAACCAAGGCAAGACTTGCCAAAAGCAAGGCTATTTTTACACAGTAAAATCTGGACAGGCACCCAAAACATTTGATATCTTGTTTATCATTTACTTCTGCTACAGTTGCTCTACTAGCCCTAAAAGGAATCCACAAGAATACATATTGTTTCTTACAACAGCTAATGTAACAAAAAACTACAGCATCTATAATTAGCTGTACCCTGGAATCGCAAAATGAACTAGCAGGCTTTTAAATTAGTTTCTGACAGAACTCAAGATCCAGGCAAAAGCAAGCCTGCCTCTCAACGTTATAAGATCAGGTAGAAGAACTGCATAACCTTGAGGTTCCTACAGTTGTGACTATATGATCACTTATTGTGGAGGCAGGAACTTCAGTGGCACAATAGCCATATAACAACTACTGCCATTTTTTTTGGTGGTGGGATGGATTTTAACCACTTAATTGTTCCTTTCAGAATATGACTCTTATGGAAAAGCATTTTTGTGTGTTGAAATAATTACAGTTTAGAAAAAGAAAGAAAAAGTTTGGTAGAAGCAAAATTCCAGGGACGGGTCCAAAATGTGCAATAAGCCATTACCATTGTATTACAGCAATACAATCTATGGAATTGTTGTTAACTTTGAGGCTAAGGTTAAACAGAGCACATAATTTTACTATTCAGCCAGCAAGAAGAATTGCATCATCTCAAAGAACAGAAAGAAAAGTTAGGAATAAGCAATGGCTGAGTCTTTCATGCCACCTGCAGAATGGTAACTATTTCATCACCACTGAAAATAAAAAGGTAAAGAAGAATTAAATTAGCATATTATTTTAATCTCAAAAAGAGTACAAGAATTTTGTTTTTCCAATATCCTACCTTGAAGTACCTCTGATAAGTTATAACGGAAGTCCTTTGCTTTGGCTGCATGCATAGTAAAAATATAAAAACCATTATTTGCATTAACAGACCCTGATCAGATTTTAATTCAGATGCCTTTTACATATCAAAGATTGCTAATAAAAATGCTTTGTTACAATCTGTTTTTAATGTCAAGCAAACTACAGCACACTGGACACAAAGCATTAAGATTCATACTTGAGGTCTCCATTCTTCTGGATTTCTCAACTCTTAATATATATGTAAAGTTTGAATGTCAGAATTTTCCTCTACAAGAATTTAATTTTAAGACTAATATACATCAAAGTATTAAAATGCATCCTTTCATGCACAGATGCCATTCAGCATCTATAACAGCTAAAAATAAGCTACTGCATTTGCAAGGGAGCAGTAACTAATTTTCCAGAGCAGTGACATTTTACCTATAAAATAAGACAAAAGAATTAATCCTACTTTCTGAAATTGAAAAAGCTTATGTTCTATGAATGGTGACAGAAATGACATATTTTTAAAGTACTAAATTATTATTAAATGTCTTACCTAGAACTTCTTCATAGTCTATAAGTTCGAACCAAACAACTGCTACTGATGTCCATACTCCAAGCAAAGCAATTACCATAAACCAGGTGAAAAATGAGCTTCCGGACAGGCCTTCTTTCTTTCCATTCTTACTTCCCCCGTGTTTTGTTTCTATTTAAAAAAAATAGAAAGAAAAAGAAAAGAAAGAAAAGTTCATATACATGGAAGCTGTATTACTATTAGAAGATAAATATTTATGTATTAGCAAATTGTCCATCATGAATGACCGGGGGGAGGGGGAACAGAGTGCTGCCTCCCAGTGCCCCGGGTTGCCGCTGCTCCAGCTCCGAAACCATGCATCCCCCCACCCTTCACCTGCCATGCCCATGTCCGGTCTCATGCACCACCCCATAATCCCTTCCATGTCCGGTCCGGTGGGCCCCCCACAACCTTTGCTGCTCCACCTCACGCCGCTGCTAGCTCCAAGGAACAGTGGGGGAGGGGAGTTGGCACGTGGCCACCGACACTCAGTGCCCTGCCCTGCTGTAGGTCTGTGTCTGGCCATACACAACATCCCCCCCTCCCTCTCCACCACCTCCCCCTCTGCCAGCTGTTGTCAGGGCTGGGCAGCAGCAGGGAGTGGAATGGTGGCAAGGGGGCGCTTGCACCAGAAAACCCCCCATTCCCTGTCCTGCTCCCTTCTCTCCCTCCCTTCCTCCCCTCTTCCTTGCCACTCCCCCTCCCTGCCGGAAAGGAGAGCAAGGACGGAGCACTGCTACCCACCATTCCGCACCACCACCTTCTGCCAGGAGCAGCTTGCCCCGCTGTCCCCACCACCAGGACCCCGTGCTGCTGCCACATCCAAGGGGTGGCCTTTCCCTTCCCCGCCTCTCCAGCCCTGCTCAATGGAGGCTGTGGCAGTGCAAGGTGCTGGCAGTGCGGTGCTAGCCTCGACCCCCCACTCCTTCCCTTGTCATGGCAGTGTTCCGCCGTGCCAGTACATCCCTGCCATCCCGTATGCCCTTCTGCCAGGGACGGAGCACTGCCATGACAGCAGGTACGAAGCTGGCCAGAGCCACCGCTGCCTCTAAGGAGCAGGGCCGGGGGTGGGAAGGCGAGGACACCCCTTGGATGCGGCAGCAAGGCCAGAGAGGGCGGGGTGAAGCCAACAGTGTGGGGGGCCAGGCCAGCACCACATGCCACCACCGCCCCTCAAGGAGCAGGGCTGGGGGGTGGGGGGTTGGGCGAGGGGAGGCCAGCACTGCTAGCCTTGCCGCCCCCACTCTGTCCCCTCTGTCACGGTGGCATTCTGTTGTACCAGTCTGTCCCTGCCATCCCCACTCTGCTTCCAAAGAGCAGGGCCAGGAGATGGGGAGGGGAGGGTGGGGGTGGCGAGGCCAGCACTGATTAACTCGCCCCCCTGCTCCGGCCCCTCAGTCCCCGCTGTCATGGCAGCGCTTCGGCGTGTGTGCATGCATGTGTGCATGTATGTGTGCGTGTGCAGAGCACTCCGATTGGTTGTTTCAGTCAGCATGTGATTGGCTGTTGAGACAACCAATCAGAGTGCTCATAAAGCATTATGGACAGACAGACAGACAAAGGATTTTATTATATTAGAATAATTAAGTGTGCATACTTACAAATTGTAAATAAAGTATGCTATAAAAGTATCCTACAAAACAATGTTTTAGTGACACAATGTGCTCAAATAACTTTATAAATGACTTCTCGTACTGTATGATTAAATGTATGATTATAAAAAGGACAAGATTTGTCTGTACTGGTGATTCTCAATCAAGGAGCCATGAGATCCTTTCAAAAGGTGTCATGCCACCGCTATTCCTAGTGGAAACTGCCAAACTGCATGCCTCTCTAGGAGAGGCAGTGTGGGGCTGGGTCAGGAACTGGCTGCAGCATAAACCAATGCATTCCTCGGGACAAGATTTTGCTGTCTTTAGGACCCGGGGCTGGCTACAGTTATGACAAATGTAGGTAAAAGTCAAGTAGACAGCAAGGGGAATTTGCAACTTATAGACTAACACAAGTAGATACTATACAAGTATACATAGGGCAGGTTTCTGTGAGCTGAAGTTCACTTGCAGATGCTGTGAAAGGACATGCACAAAGCTGTGTATGAAAAGTAAGTGTCAGGCAGGAGCTCTCAGCTAGAAGCCAGCCTCTACTCCAGACTCTCTCCCCTCTCACTCCTGCTCAGCCCAGCCCCTGCTTCCACCAGAACTCTCCATTGCTTCCTGGGAAAAGCAGGAATCCCTGCTCCAGGGGGGCCTTCCCAAACGGAATGTGTGATCAGTATCTGGGACTAGCTGGCAGGAGCTGCTATTAGGCCCATGCTGCTCTCCACTGCACCAGCCAGACCCTTCCCACAGTGGAGAACCAGCCATCCTGCAAAGGCACCTCCATCTTGCAGGCAGACCCTCCCTTCTCCCCATTTAATAGTGATGCCCAGTACTTTTATTTTCCTCTCTACCCTCTTTAGACAATATGCTGAAAATGAGCAATTTCCAACAAGCTGGAAAAACATGGTATTGTTGTAAATTCTACAATATGTGACATTTTGCACAACGTGCTTATATCTAGAAGGAATATCATTTTGCATTAAAAAAAACAAATACAAATTTCAAGACCTCACACTTAACACTTGAGTGTCATTTAGACACCATTTAAGTAAGATGGACTCTGCACCTTGGTCTGTGTGCCTCATAATACCTTGCTTCAAAGTATTACTTTGGGGATGAATACATTAAAGATTAAAGGGGTATTCAGATCCCATGGGCAGAAGATAACAGAATAATATAAAAGATAATAGTATCTTTCCAGAGCAATTATTCTCAACCAGAGTTGTGACAATCTAAAGTATCTCCCTGTTTATAATATCAGAAACAGAGTTTAATATTCATGCATGTTTTTCCAAGTTTGTTTTAAAACACGTGTTTCCAATCAAGTTAATTTTACACACTTAAAAAAAAAAAATGTTAAAAACTAGGTACCATTTGTCACAACCCAAGGGTGTGATTTGATGTGTGCGCGCTTCGGCACTGCTAAATTATTTCCCGCCACTCGGAGGTTTCTTTGCAGGGTGCATTTCTTAGTTGCAAAGAGAAATGCACGGTGCAAAGGAGTTCCCGCCACCCGCATGCAAATTTGTGCCCCACTATTGGCCAGTTCTAAATTATTCCCACGTGGCGGCTAGCAATTGGCTTGCTAGCCGTATAAGAGGCTTGAGCGGTTTCCGCCCAAGTTGGAAGACTCCACAACTATCAGGAGGAGGAGAACTTCACGTCTCGTGAAGATCTCTAAGCGCTGCGGAGTCTATCAGACCCAGCGTGTACCTTGAGAAGGCTATAGGGGTCTGATCAACCTCTGGCCTCTCCCCGTCGCCGAACGATCCCTCGACGAACCCCTTCCCTGCGCGCAAGTTCCACGGAGCCTAGCAAACTTCGTGAGAGTTTATCCAGAGCTCTTTCTCCAAGTTGTTTTCTTCGGTTGACACGACGGGCTCGCGTGTTTAGAGCCTTCAACCAGATTGGGCTAGAGGTTCGCATGGAAGGAACTCTTGTCCGCTTCTCTTCTTTGCTGTCTGTAACTGCAACTCTAGCAAGTTTTCCTGCCTGCACCGCGACCATCTACGGTGTAAGTAAAATAATCTTTAATCAACCGCTAAGCGTCCGTGCCTAATTCTAGCCCGCTGGCCTGCATTCCCCGACCCGCGTGCCAGGGCTGCTGGCCAC